ATCACTGCTTTTCAGCAACTATAGGCAGATGTCTCCGAGACTTTTCTGTAAGTAGCAACTAAAATTTTATTTTTTAACCTGAGAGCAAGTGAAAATGACCACATATAGGAAATTGTAAGACTTAAGTCAATTTTTAATAATATTTTTTTTGTTTCATGTCTCAATACAGCTGTAAAGCAGGCAAGCTTGAAAAAAATTAAATGAATTATCCTGGCTCTGCCCATTTGGGGGGATTTCATTTCCACTTAGTTTGGATGAGATCAACTCCAGCTTGTTATTCAAAGGCCTTTAAGCTTCATCCTAGAAAAAAAAGTTGTGCCTTCCTGATGTAAAAAATACCGTTGGCTTTGACCCTTAGACATATATAAACATGACTTTTCTCTAGAGTTTTGATTAAAGCAATAACTGGGTTGAAGTAACTGAAGACACATTATGAAATCAATTAAAGGTTCAAACCTGACATAAAGAGGGCATGTAATAGGAGTCATTCCAATTTTGTAGAGATATTTAAAATACCAATAGGGAAAAGGGGAAGAGAGAAAGCATTAAAGGAAAACACCCATAAAGGGCTGAAGACTCCACTACTGCCAATTTGCAATTTAAATACATCTGGTAGCCTCTTGTTAAATATAAAACATAAACCTTAACATGAAACCTTGAATTACTCTAGATTGTTTCCCTACTGTCTTCTGTAAGAGTTTAAAAGTTTGGAATTCAGAATCTGCAGCCAGTTCTACACACCATAGAGAAAGATCTGGTCCCAGCATCCTGTAGTTGTAAATTGTGCTGTGCTACATTGCAGGGAAAGGGTCACTTCTGAATATTCTACATACAATAACAATGAGAAAATTATATAGCAGAAGAAAGGGTTCTTAAGGCAAGACCTTTTGTTTCATGTCTCAATATAATTGTAAAGCAGGCAAGCTTGCAAATGGAGGTCTCTGAACTCCCAAGAGTCAGTGGGAAGGTATATGTGAGTTTTTTGATGAAAAGAAACAATTAATTATACAAAAAGTAACCAAACAGGACCCTGATGCCAACAGCAAAACAAAACAAACAAAAAACCCCAACCCTCCCCCCATTTGGTTCCAAAAAGGAGGGAGGCGCAGTGGAGTGACACAGCTCTAGCATGACCTACCTATATTATAAATTATACAAATCCTTTAACAATCATTCTAGAATTCTTGGACTGGAATAACTGGATTCAGAACAATGGGAACAAATGAAGGATTACAGATGTTACTATACCACAATGGTTGGCAATCTGCAACCCCAGCCTCCCAATCCACCCTTAGGCAACCTTGGGGCTCCAACTGAGATTGTGTGAAATTGGCAACAGTATTTACTGCCATTTCACGGCAAGGAATACTACTACAGACAAAAGACAAAAATCCCGACTTCTGCCAAAAATGTACGGAAGAAGTAAACCCTAATCTTGTTAGCAAATTCTATGCAGAGAACGTGCTTAATTCTCACAAGGTGGTTAAATGCATTGTGAGCAAGGGTTCCCCACCCCCCACCGTTGGAAATGGGCCGTGCCAGCGGCGGGGGGAGCATGTGAAGCTTCATTTGCACATGGGTAGCATATTACATGCCCGAAACCATTCCCCCTGCTGCCATTACTGCTGGCAGTCCGTGGAGCCAAAAAGGTTGGAAACTGCTGCATTTACAGCAGCGGTTCTCAACCTATGGGTCGTGACCCCATTTGGGGTCAATCGACCATTTCACGGGGGTCGCCAAGCAAGGCTGTCCGCCATTTTTTCCCCCTTTTCCGGCGGGTGCCTTACCTCCCTTGAGCTGGGCCAGCTGGTGGTCGGCCTGCTCCGTCTCTGCCGCTTGCCAGCTACGCCTCGGCCGGCGCAGGGGGTGGAACCACGCATGCGTGGCGTTCCCGGGCAGGGAAAGTCCTCGACTTACGACCAGTTGGGTAGTTCTCGACTTACGACTGGTTTAGTCCTCGACTTACGACCGGTTTAGTCCTCGACTTATGACCGGTTGGGGGTCGCGGCATTAAAAAGGTTGAGAACCACTGATTTACAGTATTCCAGATCTCAGCTAGTTGACCCAGCCAACTGACCCTATCAGCCCTGCTCTGCTGGGAAAGTAACTCCACTAGTCAGTCGGCTCCCTCCTATTGTGAGCTCTCTTCTTTGAGGGTTTCTATTGAGCTTTCAAAGACTTCCATCTGAGATGGAGTCCTAGAGAGGTCTTATTTTCACCCCCTACGGGTGCAAGAAGTGGAACCAAGTAAGAGTGATATTCTGGAACTTGTGGTGCTTTATGGGCAGTAGGAATATTACTGAGGAATACGAAAAAAAGCCTTAGCCAAGGCCACAGTCAGATAAATGAAATTTTGAGTCTGGGGCAGAAAAATAATTCGAGAAAGCATTTCACACATCGGTTCTCATCGAAGGTAACGGAAGGGAGAGGAGGAGGCACATCCAGACTTGCAAGGTTCTATTACTGTAACCTTATAATAATAGTAATATGGGCATTCCTAATACGGATGTTCTAGTCTGATTTATCTAGAAGGGCAGATAGGTGCCAACCTCCAAAGGGAGAAAAATTAAAGACCAGAGAAGGGAAAAACTTCCAACTTCCTTTACAATACCTGATATGGCTAGTTATATGGCCACTGGCAGACTGACTAAGGTAGCCCTAGTCTTGTGCTGCCATCTAAAAAGGGGAGTATGTTGTTTGGAGCAAAGGATAACTGAAAGGCTATATTGTGAAAATAGTCATGCGCCACAATCCCACATGCTTTGCCTTAATGCTCTGCCGCCTGATCCTTTAGCCTCTTGTTCATCCCTCTTCTGTTTGTTTTTTTCTTCCTAGTGTTTTCCCACAAGTGCAGGGTCTACTTTTTTTTCTTCAGGTGACTGAGTGTTGATCCATTGGTTGTGATGGGAACTGATTGACCAGTTTGTTGCCTGAGTCTGATATTCTGGGCTGAAAGAATGACTGGTTCAAGGTCACCCAGCTGGCTTTCATGATTAAGGTGGGACTAGAACTCACAGCCTTCTGGTTTTACCTTGGTGCCTTAATCACTAGATTAAGCTGGCTGTTTCTATTGATTCATTGGAGGGCTATTTTGCTTTTTGATATTCCATAGGTGTCAAACCCTGTGTTCTCCACCCCTTAAAGAAAGCTGAATCATTTGAGTAGCAGTAACACCCTCAAATTTATTGCTACTTTATATATAAATACATTTAATAAGAACACTTGAATTTGTTAGGTATTCTGCACATAACATTTCATCTGCAACTATCCCTTTTCCCAAACCGTAATTCTCCTTCAGAGAAATTCAGGCTACTGAAACATTTGTAGAGGTATTGCCCACAACTTCCTTAGCACAGATTTATTTTGAATGTTGTAGCATTCAGTAACCTTACAACACCCAGTTAGAAGGCTGATCTCTCCCACTGTGGAGATGGAAGAATTACTCAGTACCATTGTAGCTTGATTGTGAAAACAGAAGTGGGCCAACATTTGTACACCTCAAAGGATCCCTGAGTTCAAGTTTGTGGAGTGTGGGTGGATGAGAGATCTATATAGTCCAAGACAGATTTAAATTCTGGCAAAGATATCCCTTCTTACTAGAAACAACTATTCCATAGTATTGGAATAGTATTCACTTTACTGGAACTTATTCACCTTCAATAAAGACATTTTCTCTGGATGCAGGCCATGCAGAGTTTGTGAATAGGAGTCCTGTTCTGATGGTTGTGGCCTTCTGCATTTAGGCTGATACTTGTGAGCACAGTTCTATGGTCCTCAGCACCAATTAGATGGATGTGTCCTAAATGGAGGGTAATGGAGTGACGCCCACCTCTGCATAATGTATGCAAGCCTAGGAGAATACTTGCCTATAATAAATACAATGAAACTGTATTTGAGATTCTCCTGTACAGCAGTAACATTGCTGCATCTCCGGGCTACACCATTGTAACAGCAGATGGGTCTGTCTTTCCCAAATCCAGTGGGAATGATTCTTACGAGTCCTTAGGTGTCCAGTATGCTTGGAGTGTGCTGCTGATCAGTTTCATTTCTGGAGACAAAAAAAAGGGTTCCTCCTCATGAGAAATGCTCTCGCACAAAGAGAGTCAAGGGAAAATGCACCTTTGTTTTCCCCCCACAGAATTACTTATCTTCATCGCTGATAGAGCTTCATGATGCCAACTCGGTGCAAGCTCTTCCATAGCCCGGCTTCTAGTAACATATCATGATTGGCGTAGAACACCAGGGGCTTTTTCTCCTGCTCGTAGTAATGATCTGAAAACAACTTGTAATTCTCTGTGATGAATCCATAGGCACTGACCTAACGAAGGAGAGGAAGTGAAAAGATGAGCGAGGGACAGACGTGGACCAAGAAATACAGTCTTTCATGCTGGTAGCTTACATGGCCAGGAATTCCCTTGGAGAAACAAAAGCTGCATCAGATGGAATGCCAGCCAGCATGAGGCAGATGTCTAAATGCCACATGGTTTGGAATAACAAACAAAAAAAGCAACTTTCCCATTTCCTCCAAAGAATACAAGTATATTTTCTGCATCTTGGTCTGCCGTTTGATGCCTCCCTCCTTTCACTGTTTTTCAAAAGGTACAAATTCACCGTCATCAGTAGCTTTAAATCTCCATTGTCTGTTAGTGAGCTACTAAAAATTGGAAAAAGTGACACTATGGGAACTGTTACCTGATCACAAGTATGTAGAGCCGTTAAAAGCATAAGTGCTCCAGTGCTGGGTATGTAGAGATGACCAAACTGAGAATTAATAATTTCTGATTTTAAAAACCTGGGAACAGAAAAGAGGCAAATTCAGCAGAAAATGTTACTGGGAAAATTGGGATAATGTTATCTTTCCTTGGTCTCCACGTAAAGAATCTGGCAAATAGAAAGGCTTCAGATGTCTCCCTGACATGCTGGGTTTCCAAACTGACAAAATCTGATCTTGGGGTGTTTTCAAATTCCTGCTTTCATGTTTGTATTATTCCTCAAAAATCTTTTAAATATCGTTAGGGTTTCCAGATCAAAAAGAGTAGGAGTTTTGAACAAAACCCAAATATTGGAGGCCCAAAGGGCAAACTGGTATATAATACATGCTTCTATGCTAGCTGTTTGCTTCTATGTTGTTGTACACACCAGTCAACAAAATATTCAGATCCCTTTCTCAGCTTTGCCCCTGCCCTGGGTACGTGAAAAGGAACGTGACAGCTGCCATTCATACATAAATGCTACTCAGTGAGTAATCAACTGCTCTTAACTGCAACTTTTGTTGCAGCAATAAAAAGCTCAGAAACATCACCTTTCTTTTAGATAATGAATGAATTCTGGGTGCAGCAACTTGAATTTCCCTGCAGATGTCTCAGATCCAAAATATTTCCAAGGGCTGTGGAAAGAAACAAAAGGAAGTAGCACTGCTGTGGTTAAGCAATTCAATGACCGGAAAGAAAATTGAGCAACCGAACAATGGCACTCTTGGTAAGATCTGAAACAACATGTGTTCACGGTAAAAAAAAAAAAACAACAACTATGTGATTCCAACTATTCAAGCTTGGCACATGGTTTGGAGCCTAGTATCAAGAAGTCAAAGGAGACCTCTGATGCCGCCCATGGAGGCCTTCACTCTGACCCATCAGGATACTAAGCCTTCTTGATTCAGCTGATTTTTGCCACCATCTTCAATAATTACACTTTTTCCAGCTCAAGAGAGAGGCAAAAGAGGGAGGATAGCATGGCATGCAAAGAGAGGTATCCTCTTGCACCACACCTTTCTATAAATTGTGCTACCAACAGGAGGAGGATTTATAAGGGATGTGGGGAGTTGTGCATGAACGTAGGCATATGTTGTGTTATATGTTATGGAAATGTGAGAGAGAGATACCCATTCCAGCAACAGTCTCTGTGATGCACTTTCTAGTTATGCTACCATATGTGACTCTGTGATACAGAAAACATTCTATCTAAAGAAATGTATTGGGTTGCCCACAGATTTATCTGCTTTGTAGGTGGAAGCTTTTTTAATGTAGTGGACATTTCTGTAAAGGGAGAGGAACATAATGCAAGATGCAGATGAGGATGCACAATCCAATGGCCAAAAGTGAGAGAGAGTGTTGTCACATAAACAGTATTAGAAACGGTGTTTATCAGTGTTTAGAATCTTCTAGAAATGGGACAAGCCAAGGAAACAGAAGTACAAGCCATCTGTTTCAGGTGACTTCTGGGGAAGAAATGTCAAATTGAAGAAAGTTCTGCTAAAAGCAGAGCTGACGATCATAGTGGAATTTTAAGAATCCTTCCTGTGGGAAAATGCTGTTTTGAATTATTTTAAAAAAATTGATGGGATGGGACTTTGAAGGTTGAATACTAGTGGGAACTAGAAGGAACAAAGATTACAATTAAACAAGAACACCTAAATTAAGAGACAGTTTAGTGTAGTGATTAACGTGATGGCTTAGAAACCAGGAGACTGTGAGTTCTAGTCCCACCTTGGACATGAAAGCCAGCTGGTTGAGTTTGAGCTAGTCACTCTCTCTCAGCCTAACCACCTCACAAGAATTGTTGTTGCAGGGAAAACAGGAGGAGGAATATACATTCACTGTCTTGTGTTAGTTATAAAGTATTGAAGGTAAGATAAAAATCTAATAAAGAAATAAAATAAATCATTTGACTTAAATGCAGAATGAAGCAAAATATTTCAACATACTGAATTTTTGAACAACTGACCCAGAAATTAATTTTGCTCTGTAGACAGACTATGTTTAAAGTATATTATAGAAGAGGAACAAGTTTTGCCCGACAAGACTGATTGGATGGAGTTCCTCTCAACAATAGCAATACTACCTGTAGTTGCTATTAATGGTTAAGAACAACCATAGCTGCATGAAGCAATATGACATAAATCTAACAGCACTAGAAATGTAATGTTTTGATAATATCAACTGTTCATTTTTAACAGAGAGATTGGCTGTATGAACATCTTTCTTCAAAAGACTATACAATGAGCTGCCTCACTATGAACCAGAAGTTTAAAAACATTAAAAATAACATTGTATGTGGTTCATAACCATGAAGCAAAGGAACAAGAATTGTTCAAGCAGAATTACTTACATATCACCCTTGTCATAGCCCTCTGGGACTTGATTGCCCAATATGGCAGACCGAAGCATGATGTAGTCTCGTACGTTTGATGGAATGAAAATGTACTGTACATCCTACAACCAACATAAAAGGAAATGTAAGCATGAGGTTTGACAAGGGAAAATATTGTTGCAGTGAAGCGTGTATATAATTCCAGCCAATTATGTATACCTTTTCCCAAGTAAACCATTTTGTATTTCTGTCCCGTTTTTTTACTCCTTCTACAATAAATACTTAGTGGGCACTGTCCAGCCATAATCTGATTGCTTTTGAAAGCCTTCACCAATGCTTAAATAGTTAACTTAATTCAGGAAATCTTTGTATTGATGCTGTTTTAGCATCAAGCCCACCACCTGAAGATCATACAAGGTTTTTAAAAAGTGAAGCTGGAAATAATAAAGCATTGTTCTGCCTTCGACCTTCCTGGGCTGAAAAGTATTCTGCTGGCAACAATCTGCAAAACCAGCCACCCCTATTAAAGCAAATGTGACTAAAGTTAGTAGTATTTTAGTCCAACCCTGCAGTTGAAAAGAAGAACGTAGTTGTGCTTTTACTTTTCCCTGTGGGATTTGTTTGAAGCCATATTCTGCATAAGCAACAAGGGAATTCTTCATAGTGTTCACCGTAAAGCCATAGAAGGAAGTCTTAGTCCCAACATCTTCCTCAAAACCTTTGGTGACTGCCCCATTAAGCCTGTAAGGAACAACAGAAGCAAAGCCTGAGGAATGTAATGTTGTCAACAAAGCACAACTGAGTAAATAACTCAAATATCTGAGATTTTATTCTGAAAGTTTAAGAGCATGGATCTTGTGGGGTTTTTTTTAATCACCATAGCCACTCAGAAATGGGGCCTTTGCCCCATTTCAAAGGAAGAGGATTGCTAACTTCCTTGTACCTGAAGACAAAGTCATGAGCATCTATCTTCTTCCCTTGGCGAGACCCATTCAAAATTCCTCCATTCCCAACCACGGCACAGCAGATGCAACAGTTAAGGAACCTGGTTTCATCGACTAGCTGACTGTGGACAGACTCAGTGAGAAGCTGCACCGTGGATGCAATAACTGCAGATTAAAACAATGCAATGATGCAAGTTAGGAAAACGTTCTAGCAACAACTGCAGCGAGAGAAATGAAAACTCTAGCTATAGATTCAAGGCAACGAGAAATAAGCAGAGGGAGCTACATTAAGATTAATTATCATGAGATGAGCAGAACACTCAATTTCTAGCACACAATGGGCTAAACCTATTGTCAACTGTTTGCAAGCCTTGGTAAATAAATCCACTTTTAGAAACTCATAAAGTTCCAGGGTAAAGAGAGTCCCTTCTCTTCTCTTTCTTCCTACTTATTTGTAGAGTGTAGAGTATCCTTACAAGATTCTAGGCACCACGTTGGAAAAAGGACACGATGGAGCTATAAATAAGGCAACCAAGATGAACAGCAAGATCAAATACCCTCCTTAGGGGAAAGTATTATGGGAGCTAAACTAACATATTTGGGATATATCGCATTGGGGAAGGTTATTTTAGGCTACTTTTTATTTACTCAGCTAATTAGGTGGGAATTAATTTATAGTGTAATCTTCACAGAGGGCAGCAAGTTGGCCAAACTTGCTGTCATCCTTCTAGGAACTGAATAAATATTTTTGTGTATTTGTTAACCGAAGCGTTCATATATATCCACCTTTATTTAAAATATGACAAAATAAAATAAAAACAAGTTCACTACCCTACCTCCAAACAAGTAAATAAGATGGCAATTAACCATGCCCCAAAGGCAAGGTATTCCATAACATCAAATGTACCCCCAGCAAGGAGTACGTTTGAATACAAGCTACCCCATACCTTTCATCTCATTTGGAAAGGGGACATTCTGGGCTAAATCTGGAGGAGAGAGAGAGACCATTTTGTGGTTATGGACCATAAGGTAGTCCTCAATCTATGACCATTTATTAAGCAACCATTTGAAATTACAATGGCATTGAACATTATGACTGGTCCTTGGAGTTCTGACATATCCATTTGATTGTGATTTGGGCGTTTAGCAACCGGTTCCCACCTATGACCAGCTATAGTGTCCTATAATAATAGTTTGCAACACTGCCTGCTGGCTTCCGCAGAAAGTCAATGGGGAAGTCAGCAGGGAAGGTTGCAAGTCACCGGGGTAAGTCTCCCCCACCTGCACACCCTCCCCCAGCCCCTCTATGCTTGCACCCTAGCCACTCAGACACCCCCACCCACCCTCCCTGACTTGTGCCAAGGCCTCTCACATGTACCCTTGCATATCCTCTCCAACCCATGCTGCACCTCTCACTCTCCCCCATGTTCCCTCCCCCACCTAGCAGCAATCATTTACCTGCCTGCCAGCCCGGGACTTGCAACTTTCTGCTGGCTTGCCCACTGATTTAGTTATAGAAGCTGGCAGAAAATTGTCTTGCCTAACAATAGCAGGATTCTGTTAATGATAACAGCCAGGATGGCAGGGATTGCTGTTGCTAAGTGATGTAGTCGTGCTTTATGATTGCATTACTTAGTAGCAGAAATTCCAGTCCCAATTGCCATTATAAGTTGAGGACTACTTGTAGGTTAAAACCAGAACCTTGAATTGAGCCCTGAAGTCATTTGCAACCAATGCAGCGTCTGCAAGATATGTTAATAATGCACCCAGAACTATCCCTCTCTGTTTGTAGATGACATTGTTGCATTTTGCATCAATTGCAAAAGTGGAGTTGTTTTCAACCTCATAAAAAGTTGTAACAAGAAGCTAACATGGGTTTGTCAAAAACAGATCATCGCAATCTTATTGCATTCTTTGACAAAGTGACTAAATTAGTGGGCCAGCGAAATGCTGTGGACATAGTATACTCAGACTTCAGTAAGGCATTCAACAAAGTAGACCACAACCTACTTCTTGGTAAGAGAAAAATGTGGGACAGATAGCATCACCAGATAGATTCACAACTGGCTGACAAACCACATTCAACATGTAGTCCTCAATGGACTCACACTACATAGAGGGGAAGTATGCAGTGGGGTACCCCAAGGTTCCGTTTTAACCCCAGTACTCTTCAATATCTTCATAATCTAGATACAGAATAGGTGGTACCTTGATCAATAGCAGTAACTATGAAAGGGATCTAGGAGTCCTAGTGAACAATCACTTAAATATGAGCCAGCAATGTGCTGCAGCCACCAAAAAAGCCAACACAGTTCTAGCCCCATCAACAGAGGGACAGAATCAAGATCACAGGAGATGTTAATACCACTTCATAAGGCCTTGGTAAAACCACACCTGGAATATTGCATCCAGTTTTGATCACCACAATACAAAAAAAAAAGTGTTGAGACTTTAGAAAGAATGCAGAGAAGAACAACAGAGATGATTAGGGGGCTGGAGGCTAAAACATATGAAGAAGGAGTTGGGTATGTCTAGTCTAGTGAAAAGAAGGATTAGAGGTGACATGATAGGAATGTTCCAATATCTGAGGAGCTTCCACAAGAAGGGGGCAGGAACAACCTATTCTCCAAAGCACCAGAAGGCAAGACAAGAAGCAACGGATGGAAACTAATTAAGGAGAGAACCAACCTAGAAATAAGGAGAAATTTCCTGACAGAATAATTAATCAGTGGAACAGCTTGCCTCTAGTCTAGAAGTTATGGGTGCACCATCATTGGAGATTTTTAAGAAGAGATTGGACCGCCATTTGTCTAAAAGAGCATAGGGTCTGCTGCTCAAGCAGGGTTGGACTAGAAGACCTCCAAGATCCCTCCCAACTTTGTTATTCTGGTATATTGAAGTAGTTTAGAAACGATGCTTCGAGTCATAGTTGAAATGAACAATTCCTATGTGACCCTACAAGACATCCATGAATCTACTATACAGATATATCTATGTTGTATACTGAACAATACAGTTTGAGCATATTTAATGAAAGTAACACTATTTCTACTAAACAAAAGATATACTGATATCCACCATGAACAGTCTTTTTGTGTCAGAAATGTTTTTAAGACTGAGTAACAATCTTTGATGAATCATATGTCTCAAAAATGATTAATGGTTTCAGCCCTACTTCTAAAATATCAGACAGTGAACTTCAGCTTTACTACTACTTTAATAATTCCTTTTGAATTAGCATGAGATCCTGCAAGGAGTGGTGGTGAAAAGTATTTCTTTGTTCTTTCTTACTCTTTCTTGGCACTAGAGCTACCTCTTTTTCTTGTACATCAGTCACAAATAACTTTTAAACAAGAAATATCAGGGACAGTAGCAACCTTGTAAATGATCCTTTACCGAGTTCTAGGTCCAGACACACTGGGGATTCTCACATGTTCTTCCTAAAGTTTTTTACAGCCAGTTTAATCCTATGCTGCTTCACTTCTCCTTCCACTCCTTGCTCACTCCCCTCTAAGAGATTTAAGGCATCAGCCAGAGATATTTGGCAAGAAACTAAGAATGGGCATGGGGCAGGAAGCAAAAAATTCCCAGGAGCCACTGGGTAAAAAGCAACAATAGAGTGGGTTGTGTCAAAGCCTTTTTCTTCAAGTTAGTCATCAGAAAGACACTGGGGCCTTTGATACAGGCAAATGTCACCAGACATGGATAGTACCAGCATTTCCAATTATGATTTCTCCCGTCCCAGATCTCAGCCTTTAAAGAAAAACAATGGACTGCATGAACATTATAAAAAGGGTGCTAAGCAATCCAATATGTTAAAACGTTTGGATGCTGCAACTAGGTAGAGAAAGAGGTTTTTCCAGCCAAATGAACTCACAAAGAGTAATGTTATAAGCAAAGTACTTTCCCTCCTGGGCACGGAAACTACACTGCTCACATTCCAAAAGTACGGTGTACTCCTAACCATAAGTAGTGCTCCCCTTTTCTATTCTGGGTTAAGTTGGTACATCAGAACATGAGAAAATAGCAGCTGCAAGATTTGCTCACTGGGAACTTTATTTGTGCATCTTCACAATGGGCCGCTGAGGTACTGTAATCCCTCTGTGATATATAGATTAAAATATATTGAAGGCAGTGTGTTTATTTCTTGCCTGAGCCTAATAACAAACTTTATTCACACAAGAGAGGTGTTAACACATTTTTTTTCATTTTAGGGAATTATAAACAGAGATTTGGGGAATTCACCCAATTTCTTGTCTATAGATTTATGGGTAGCAGCATCCACGGGGGGATTAAAACAGGTAAGAGAATGCTCACAGCAACGTGATCAAATCACTACCCATCAACATATCAACATGAGTACAAAAGGTGCAGGGGTTCAATTGTATGTTATACAACCAGCCATCAGCCATCTGATCTGACAAGCCACACTCACCCGTCCCAGACACCGCTGTCTCCTATTCTACAATTCCCAGAATCCAATGGCCAATCAGGTCAAGATACACTTGACACATTCTTTTGATCCTCTGTTGGGGCATAGAGCTACAACTAGTATGAACACAAATCTACTTTGCCCCACTACCATTTAATCTACAAGTTCTACTGAAGATATAACTCACTCTTTGCACATTTTAAAAAGTTGCGAGGTGACTGAATCTGAATTTGTGCACAGCAGGATGCTGAACCTTATCCTGTATATTGCGGTCCTTATGAACTCAAGCTGGAACTTTTCTTGAGAGAGAGATTTTTGGTTAAGGCAGAAGGGCAAGTGTTAATTACCTTTTCCTGCTGTCCTAATCATGGACCTCCTACGGGGTGTTTCTTGACAACTTTGAGATGTGATTAATCTAGACTGGGAAATTCTGGGAATTGTCATCCATACACCTTAAACTTGCCAAGATTGAGAAACACAGCCCTTATGGCTTCTATTTTAAGAGAAAACTACATCCATATGCAAACACAGATGATGACAGACTTCCTGATTAATACAAAGAGCAGTTTAACTCTTTAATATAATATCTGATGCACGTTAGGGATAGAAGTCATCTGTGATCTCTGTAATTTCAAATGAAAATATGTATCAATTTAATTTTTTTTAAAAAGATACATGGTTTTTCAATAAGGTAAAGTTCTTCAGTGACAAATGTTAAAATCTTTAAAAGGGAATGATACTAGAAAAATACTAGGAAAATGTTTATACCCAACTCTGTATGTATTGAAAGTATTAAGAATTATATTTGTTTAATGTAGACAAAAGGAGAATATTACTGGAAGAAGAGAGGATCAAGGAAATAGATTATCAACCAACATATTGATCAATTATAGAAATTAATTATTATTGTTTTTAAATATATGAGCCCAGACAACACATTGTTCAGTAAACACTAAAGATTGTTATTGTAAAAAATTAATAAAACATTTTTTTTAAAAAAAGGAAATATATAATATGCAACTCCTGGCCCTGTGTCTTCTAAATTTGAAAAGTTTAAACTCTTGGAAAATGTATAGGACTCATGAAGACTGGTTTGTCTGCTAATCATTTTGACATTTGTTGCAGCAATGAAGTCAGATCAGCAGTAAAACAATTTGGTGCAACTGCATGCATCCAACAAGACACAAGTATGGTTCTATACCTGGATATGGCACATCACGCCAACCATATGGAACGCTGCGATCTTTCAGTCTTCCCCAAGTCTCAGGAGTGAAGTGCTGTTCCCACATAAACACAGGGATATCAAAATCAAACTGCTTCTCAAATGTTGGGTTGTGTTTCACTCTGGATTTTAATGACGAGAAGCATGATCTAGACTGAGAGAGATTAGAAATGAGTAAATCTCAAAGGCAGGAAACATTACAATCTAGCTATAGGTTTTTGGAAAGGCTACTTTCACTAGCAATGTGTATCCAACAAGACCAAATGTAGCATAGCATACCTAGATTATAAGTCACAAAACAGCCCAAATATAATTTCTGTTGTAATTCGTAGAAAATCCAACTCTTGATTCAGAATAAAATAATCTAATTTTTAAAAGATAGATTCCACGTTGACACATTCAGAGTGAGATTGTCCTGTATACCCCTCTCTTACTGGCCTCAAAGAGGGGTATACAGAAGCAGTACCAGGTGCTAGAATATTCTGAATGTGCTTAAATCATGTAAAAATGTACAGAAACAGTAGCACTGGTTTATTAATTGTTAAGAGTAGCACTGTTTATTTAGACGTATTGTGCTTTAGTTGTGTCGAACTACACTTTTTGAATAAATCACATTGGAAGGGTCATGCAACATATTGAGTCATCACTCAATACACTATTTCACTTTAGTATGAAGTAAGAAAGTAGACTGCTGCTTGGAAAGTCTTCTTATATGTGAGAAGTAATTACTGGACTTTATTGTTTGTTAAAATCTACTAGGGCAGTAGTTTTCAAAACTAGGCCGTACCATACTTAAAGTGAATTAATCTGCTTAATTAACACAGAGATAAGACTGATATTGTTCAAGTGCAAACAATAATCTTAATCCCAGTTCCTTCAATCTTGAAATTATTGAATTAACTGGCAAAAAACAGGAAACTTTTTTCAAGCTTGCCACTTATTCCCAAGAACTGGGAATTAACCAATGTGACTTTGATTTTTGAAAAGGGATGGCAGTTAATGGAACCATATAGGTCATTAAGCATCTCATCCATGTAAAATGGAGAAGAGTATCGTTAAAGAACTTAAGAAAAAGCTAGCTGAAAATGAACTCTTGCTTTAAAATATTGTCTCATTAAACTATGTATATTAAAAATAAATAACTCCATGACTAATTCCGTTATACAGAATCCTGAATAAACTAAGCAGTAGGAAGGTACATTCTGTCCCAGTCCTTGTAGGAACACCCAATTCTTCAAGGACTTCCACAAGGAGAAGAGTGGAACTCAGGGAGAAGGGTGCCCCATTGGCAGGGACTGCAACAGAACAATTTGTAGACCCTTTTACATGACAACATTTAAAGGAAGCGAACTGGAGTGTGCACAACCTATTTGATCTGGTGAAATGGGCAAATATTCTCAGTGGGAAGCTGTCCCACAATAACTTTGTTTCATCACCTCTAAAGGTTTAAAATAGCACCCTAAATTGCACTTGCACTCAGAAAGAAATGGGAAACCTGGGTAACTCATACAGATGTGATGTAATATATGCAAAATGTGGAATCTCTAAAACTGGGTGCACTACCATACTCCGAACCAGGTGTGATTCTTGGGCTTTTTCAAGAGTAGTCTCAAGTAGAGTGCACTGCAGTAATTCACCTGGGAAGTGATTGGGGCATGAGTAACTATGAGCAAGGTCTCCTGGTCTGGGAATGGACAACAAAACAGGTGAGATAAAAGGTAAATGCAGTTAACTGAAAACAGCTAAAAAATGATTCACACTGCTATACTGAGCAGTCTCTATATTCATAAATACCAGTAAATGGGTTTGCGGTGACTAATCAAGAAAAGGACCTTAAGAATGATGAAGTAACTTATTGAAAAGATGGCTTTAGGATCATTGGAAGGAAACTAAAAAACTGAACAGTTTCGGTCATGACAACTGAAAGAGAGTATTACAGATTGGAAAGATGCAAAAATGGGTGGTCAAAATGATTAGGGTGCTAACTTCTTGGCAAGGAAAGATTGTAGTGTTTAAAGTGGGGCCTAGCCACTTTGGTGTTCTTTGAAGATAATTAAATTGTCCTAGCATCTTAACCATGTTGGAATTTAACCCAAACCCTTGAGGGGGGGGAACCAAAATGGTCAAAAGAAACTAAAAAGATAATAGAACAATTCCAGGTGCTAGACTTTGCCTAAACTGTCAAAGCTAAAAATCAATGTTATGTTGGACAAGAAATTTGTTAACTAAATTTAACAAAACAAATCCTATTTACTCTATTTACATCTCAAATAAAACAAATAAACAAGATTTGGACACTGAATTCAAAAATTGTAGTCCTTTTTTCATGAGGAATTCATCCCTCAGAAGGAATCTTATTAGCTTCCCCTTCTGCTGCTGTTCTCCCAACAAATTCATCCTCAGTGCAACATAAGCAAATCATATAAACCAGTGATGGTGAACCTTTTAGAGACTGAGTGCCCAAACTGCAACCCAAAACCCACTTATGCATCGTCGGGTGCCGGGTGGGTGTGGCCCATTGGATGGGCGTGGCCCATTGGTGGGCGTGGCTGCGGTGGTAACGGCAGACTGGGTGGGACTAAAAAGTTCAATCAATCAATTCCAACTTTGCAAGATCTTTTTTTCCCCGCGAGAAATTGAAATTGACTGAACCTTTTTTTTTTTTGCACACGGCGGCGGAGGCCTAAAGCAAAAAGGTTTTATAAAACCCAGCTGAAGGCCTAGGACTGAGGCGACGGCACATGTGTCCACAGAGAGGGCTCTAAGTGCCGCCTCTGGCACCCGTGCCATAGGTTCGCCACCACTGATATAAACCTTCAAAGGAATTTACAGCAGATCTGATTCTCAAACACTGTTTAATACCTGGGCAAGTATCTTTGAATATTTAACATCTCTCTCTCTCTCTGAGATTATCTAAAGCAGACATGTTAAACTCGCGACGTCACGTGACGTCACACAACGTATCGGAGCTTTTTCTCCATTGCCGGCAATGGGGTGGGCGCATCCGGCCCGCAGGCCAGCAATTTGACACTTCTGATCTAAAGCAATTCTCAGAACATCCATCAACAGACTGACTATAAGCATCTTCTAAACTAGGCTTTTGATACTATATTCCTATAAGCAGCACTTGACAACATGAGACAATAAGCAAACCCTGATGATTTTCTTTGCTTCTTCTCTGCCAAAAATCATCATCTTGAAACAAGAATAAAAACAATGTATATATTACAAAGTACACAAACACAGACAAGAGTTTGTTTCTCTTAGAAAGCCAGGGGGAAACTTTTACTCCCTGCCAAACTGCATGGAAAGCAGCCACAACCAGACTACCTATGGGATACGTCCTATCAGGTCAGATTGGGTGGGCACACTCTTGGTTCCCTTCCCAAAATATTTAAATTAATGGGAGCTGGGAAGCATGACTTTTTCTTGGCAGCCCCTGCCCTATGAAACATTTTGCCCCCTGAAGTTCTAGCCTTTCATAAAGTCTGAAAGACTTCACTTTTCCCTGAAGCACTGAGAGATTAGACATATGTTTGCATGGATTGGTGCCAGGTTTCTATTTTTACTGTTTTTTAAAGTTTTATGTTTTAATTTAGTATGTTTTATAGTTTTTAAGATGATTTTATTGGGAGCCACCCAGAGTTGTCTGAAAGATGGGCAGCCATATAAATATTTTTAATAAATAAAATTTAAGTTCTGTGATCACAGAATCTCAACCAAGGCTTATGTTCACTATATGAGGACAAGGACATTGCCATCTGTGGGGATAGTATAAACGGTTATGCAGCTTTCAATGTTTCTTTGTAAGACATCCAAAGAATATTGATTATGGGCTGGAATGGTGACTTGAAATGTCAACCAGTAAGAACCATAATCATTGCATGTCAAACTGGGACTACAAACTCTGGGGTTCAAATCCTTGTTCAACCATGAAACTCACTTACTAGTAGACTTGTGACATACACTTTCTCACTCCAAGCTTGAGGTGGTAATAAATTGGTGGGTGAGAGAGCATGTATAAAATACTTTAAGCCTTTTCAATACTAATTTCATAGCTTTAAAATTCTCTCCCAGAGAAAAGCATTTAATATTCCATCTGCACTTTGCTAAAAATGTTGTGCTCCTGTTTGTTTTGGTTTCCAGACGAAATATTTTGTACACATTTAAACATATTTTAAAGTTTATGTTCATAAGCCACTATGGAGAGTGAGGAAGATAATCTTGATAGAAATATGCAAGATCCATCACAAGAGTTAAACACTTTTCTTTAAGTCCACAGCAGGCAGATTATATTCCAAAGCTGCTCTGACAAACACCTTCCTAAATTGACTATAAGGAGGAAATGGTATACCACAATCAAACTGATAAGAATGGTATTAACACCGCTAAATCAAGAAATCAATTCTAGAAGAATGCTCAAATTATTTTTTATTGAAATAGGCTATAACAGAATCTTGCATATCTTCATCAAGGTAACTTTCTCTCTACAGCTACCTTATGAAGGATTTGTCTTGAAGGGTAGCATACAGAAATTCTGTCACTTACCCATCTGTTCCTAAACAATATTTTCTAAGACTGAGCCAGTGGGAAAAATGTAAGGTCTAAGGCTCAAAACCTACTGCACCCACCGAAACCCTGGAAAGTCTCTTCTTTGAAGGCAAAAAATTTGATCCCTCATCAGGTAGCCATCCTTCAAAATGTACATGGGGCTTGGGACGAAGAAACCACCTAATCTGATTTCATTTTAATTGCAAATTGGTTAAATAATACAATTAATGTACTTTATCATATGTTTTTAATCATTTCTCTCTCCCTTGTGCATTCCTATACCAGGTCATTTTTCCCCTTCCAATTCTCTATAACAGGGCTTTTCAACCTTTTCACCATTTGTACCACTTTTAGGATATGGCAATATCCGAGTACCACCAGTTGCCTAGCAAGGTGTCAAAAACTTGATGACAAAAAAAAAAGGAAAAAAGTGATAAAGTACAGGTAATCCTTGACTTACAACAGTTTGCTTAGTGACTGTTCGAAGTTACAATGGCACTGAAAAAAGTGGGCCCCCAAGGCACAGCTGAGCAAGACACCTGCCTGCCCGCCCGGCGGTGCTCTCATTCCCCTCCCCCGCTACCACTTTTCTAGGATGGTCGCGTACCACCTGCCACGTGCCAATGTACCACAGGTGGTACCCGTACCACTGGTTGAAAAGCCCTGCTCTATAAGATACAGAAATAGGAGTAAACCATCCTTGCTTATTTGATTTTTTTTCAAGAGATAGGGTGGAGGAGTAGGTACATAAATGAGCTATATTAAAGCATGTTGTGAATAGGAGAGTTGCTATAGGTGATTAAGAAAGAACTGTATCCAAATTTAGTCAGACTTGGGTTAGTGACTAAACTGGGTTAGTGACTAACTTAGTGAAATCAATAAGATTTAAATAAATCAAGATTCACTGAAGTCCTAAAGATTTTAAGGTTTTTTTTTTAAAGTACAATTACATCTGTATGCAGCCCTATATGCAAAGGGGCCGGAGAGGACCTAAGTGCGTCATTTCTTCAGTAAGTGCTAGAGATACTTACTAAAGGAGGTATAGCAGGGAATCAAAAAAAGGGTTGTTAATGCATCCAAGTAGTCATTTGAGCATTATCATTGAAACGACAGACTGACAAATAAGCTATTTAATATGCATGATATGCTTGTTACCTTCTCCTTAGGGCTAGACACATCTTTGGTTGAATTTCTCCTGAAAATAAAGTAACAAGAAAAAGGAGTAAAATTTGCATTTCATTGCTCAAAAACTATGGATTCTGTATTCACAGACATAGTAAGATTTTCTGAGGAACTTCTACTTGCTACAATTCAAATTTAAAAAAACCTGCATGTAAATAACAATACTAGAACTAACTCTCAGCCCTGTTACAAGCATTGGCTATAGGCAGACAATATGAAAATCCATCACACTGGTACATTTTGTTCCTTCTCCCCACCCCCTGGTTAATTTTTAACTAGACAATCAAATAAATTCAGCATTTGCTTGCATTATGCTTGTGAAGATGAAACCTGTGGTAATCTCAAACTGAGGTGAATGACCAGAACATTTAATTATTTAAGAATTAAGTCCAGTGTAGCTGTCCCTCTAGTTCCCTCCTCTACCTTTTGGGTGACAAAGTTGTCTACTAGATTCATCACGAATCTGCTTGATCTCCCACATGGTGCAGAATTTGTCTTCCTGTTGATGTCAGGGTAGTTAAGAGTCCCCCCTTTATTATTGTGGTGTGCATCCTGAACACCTAACTAATTGATTAGCAAAAATTTCATCTATTTTCTCTTTTTGGTGGTTTGTGTTACACACTTATGGCAATATCATTCCTTTGATATTAACCCAAATGCATTCAAGAAGGTTTTCATCCTTGTTTTTTTGTATTTTGGTAGAGGTGTAGTTATTTCTTACATATAATTCAATTCCACTTCCTCTTTTGTTAGGTCTGTTTCTTTTGAACAATTTTAAATTCTTCTAGCAGTATGTTCCAGACATGGGTTTCACCTCTCCATTGTTTGCTAATGGCAACAATGTCATATATGTCCTAATTTACCTGAATTTCTAATTCACCCTATTTATTCCTCATACTCTGTGCATTGGTGTATAGGCATCTAAGTCCTTTTTGACTGACCCTGTGTTTGCTTCCCTACTTCTCCTTCTTTGTTCCCCTTCTTTCTTATCAGTTGGTTGATTGCCATGAGGTTTATGTTTTGGATTAGGCCCTAAAAATTGGCTTCCCTCCTCCTCCAGTTTTAGTTTGTTAGTTTGTTTAGTTTAGTTAAAACTGGAAACTGGTCAGTGGCTTCAGCCTTTGAAAAAGATTCACATCTTTCTTGAGAATGAATATGAAACACAATTGGATAATTTAGCCTAATACTGTAGATTTCTATCAGGTCAGCTACGGGACACCGAAAACATGCCTTGCCTCCATAACATGCTTTGTGTATTCAGTCCAGCAGAAGCAATTGTTGATCACCATTTTCTAAGGACAAACCTGGGTCACTCTTTTTTTTTTTTTTCAATATAAAATTTTATTGTTTTCATCATAAAAAAAAAAAA